CCCCCCCCCCCCCCCGAAATTTTCCATTTTGCTGGGACCTCCTCTCCCCCCTCCCCCTCATACAGAATTTTGTCATGGGTCGGCCCTCCTGAAACAAACTCCTGGCTACGTGCCTGAACCACAACCCAAATTTTTTTTTTTTTTTTTGCCGGCAGCGGCGGCGTAGCGGAACTGGCTGGTGTGATCGGTCTATTCCCTTCTATAGTAACTGGCTGAATTGTTATAGATAGGATTATCTGTTACGCGACAGCCAGCACTGCACAGTATGTGATTGCAGATTCATATTTCTTTCCTAATCATAAGAACAACAGATTTATTTCTAGCGCGTTCCAAATTCGACGTTTTCCCGACGTTTGTCAGCAGTAAACATGATAATGATATTACACCTGCGCACAGAGTAGGCTCCTGTATCCTGGTTCTCAGTAAATACCTGAAATGCTAAATCCCCCCACCCCCCCCCCTCCCCCCAAAAAAAAAAGAAAAAAAAGGTTATCGCAAAAACGATTTTTTTCTCCCACCTATATTAATATGTGAACGCAGTTTATGTTTTGGGGGGACGAAAATGAAAAGTAGAATTGTCTCGAGAGCGAAAGTAGACCAACTTTAAAAGGAGCAATAAGCGGCAGCGACGACTACCGCGCGGTAATGTGTGGCGTTGGGATAGATAACCTGAACACAATAAATTATCTTAAATGGCGTCACTACAGACCGCTACGTTCAACATGCTTGTGCCATTTCGTCCAGCGAGTACTCAGGCAATTAACTGAAATCAAGCGTTCGAAATGTTAGTTAATGTCTTTACTGCCTTTAGTGTCGAAATTTCAGCTCCGTAAAAACATGTGTTTGAGGAACCCAACATCGATCATTCCCAAGGCGCGCATAAGCGCTCTTGTGACTCACGCTCTAATGGCAAGCGCTCTCCTGTCGCGCTTTTTCTCGTCGACACTCTAGCTTCGTGCACTCTCGTGTTATACAGCCACAATTGGTACCGACCTTGAACTTCGAGCCGGCGATGAAAATCCGAGTTTGCATTTTTAGTCGTATTATACCGGTGTTACACGGGCACCCTTCACCGCCGTTAACCTTTAACCGTTGTAGCGCGTCGCTACAGTTACCGCACTATACTCTCGGATAGCTATTTCAGAAGAAGATAAGAGTGCGCGTGCGCTGCCTTCATGGGTGCTCAAAATGCTCAAGCGCACGTTTGCACATAGCTTCGACGGCGTAGCCGCAGAATGTTGTCCGCAAGTATTGTGCGTTAACTATGGCTTAGCGTAACTGCAGTCAATTTTGCCCGTGTAACAAAAGTATTAGATGTTCAGTGAATGTCCCAAGCTTGTTGCATTTTCATTGCAATCTGGGCAAGGAGCTGAGCTTTTAAAAATGTTTTGGGGAGCAATTTATTTTAGTTGCAATCTATCTCAGTGGATCCAAGGCTAAGTGCCGGGCTACGGATAACCGGGGGTGGTTTGGGACTCTAATCGTAGTAAAAACAATGTAGAGTTTTTTTTTTTGTTTTTTTAGTGGGGTCATAAAAAAAGACTAATATCCGCTTTAGATTAAATATCTCCAGGGGTTCTAATTTAATGCTTGCTTCGGGTGTGCCATAAGGCTGCATAGCTAAACCCAATTTAATTAAAAATAAAAAGAGAAAAAAGTCGAGCTGAAATAACACACACAATCCAACATGTGCTGGCTCGTGTGCGCTTGTTGAAGGTTGATTTAATTTTATTGTTTAACTTTACGATAATATTCTACCCACATAAACACGCTTTTCATTTAGAATATGTTTTTATTTAGCAGCCTTGTAAGGAGACAACTGGGCAGTTTCCTCTTTCATTCAGCAGCCTTATTTCAACACATTGGTAAAGGGCAGTTTCCTTCTTCGGGGCATGTCTGAAACAGTTGTACATCACGTGAGTTAAATATATTTTTTTTCAGGAATTTTATACTAATCAGTGTCTCTTCAAGTTTGGTTGAATATATTAATCTTCTACGCATGGGGCCCTACGTGAGCTAATTAGTTCCACAGGGGTTAGCTGGTTACAAGCAAGTGGGAAAACTGTTAGAAAGAAACATCGGAGATAAATGACTTTAATTTTAGGAACAGCTGGTCAAGACTGATCTGTAACATCTCTCGCAGTTGACGAAATAACTGACTTGCGCTATGGAGAGGGAGAGAGTAAAAAAAAAATAATGGAAGTAGAGAGATTGATTTTTCATTGTGAATCACTAATTACCACCACCCCACCACCACCTCCGGCAAAAGACAAGCATGAGAGAACTCCAACCGATCAATGCAGCAACAATCCAACACGTCACCATACGAGTATAAGCTTGAAGACGATTCAGAAGGCATGGTGGTAGAAGCTTTTGGGAGTGCTTATTCGAGTTAGAATCCAGTTTTCTCTTGACGAAATCAAGATTTATCTTTTTTAGGACCCGCTATGTTTAGTGCTTATCAGGATCGCAAGACCAGAAAAAGTCTAGCACAAAAGGAATAATGAAAAAAAAGTAAAAAAAAAGAGTGAGTGCTTGGAGGCCTACTCTCCAACTTCACATTTATTTTAGTTTAGTTTTCAATTAACACCAATGCCCTTTGGCAACACCGCATCAATAATAACACAGCACGCTCTACAATGGTAACTACGAACTCATCCTCTACTATGGTAACCAAGAATATTATACGGTCAACATGCAAGAATTGCAGAGTAAAAGATTAGAAATTGTATGGGGCATTTTGAGAAAAACGGAACATACATCTGTTTTATTATGACTGCTAACATTGCGAGATGGCAAAGATTTCTATATTTCTGAACTTTAAGATAACCCAAAATATCTGACAGCTAAATAAAGTATATTTAATTACTTTGGCAATTATAAGAAAGGAAAACCGAAGGAAAGCACAAATTTTTACGTTATATCATATCAAGATTTTGAACCGCTAAAGGCCCTGTCACACTGAGGCAGCAGTTGGACAACTCTATCCGGCAACACGGGAAAGTCGTGTTGCCGGCGACCCTGTCACATCGCAGAAACAACAACAGTCGGGCAACATGTTGCTGCCGCCCGGCAACCGCGTTGCCCAATTTGTTGTCCGACAACCCTGTCACACCGCGCTGACGGCGAGGACAACATGGGGAACACTCCGCCATCTTGATTGTTTACCTTCGTTCGTGTGCGGCGCGGAATCGCTGGAAATGTGACTCTACAAAGTGCTAGTGCGTTCGAAGGGCCGGGAATTACGACGGTACGACATAAACCAGTGACTGTGATTAGAAAACTTGACACGGCGAGTATTTTCCGCTCTTTATTTTATCAAAATGTTCTTCGTTCGTTGACAAAGCAGATAGCCCTAACCAAGGAAAGTGAAATCGCTGATATATTTTCGGGATTTACGCCACCGTATGAAGTGTTTCTGACCGGTTCTTTCATGCAATTCATATGGCTGCTGTAAAATTGAGTTAGCACCGACAGTACCCCAAAGCGTCTTTTGTAGCGTGGTGTTGAGCTGAACTGAGAGTGCTTCAAAACTGCGACACCAACACGATCGGCCTTCATTACAGTCGGTGGAATAAATATTTTTCAACGCTGTCTACTTGGTTACCGCCTGCTATATGATCGCTTCATTCCCCCAAAACGTCCTGGGTATTTTTGAAAACAAATCAGGTGTCTGGTAGCGGCTGTTTCCAAGTTCCAAGCATCAACAATCCTGATCAGAATGGTCGTTTTAATGCTTCGATTTTTGAATCTTTGGTTTTCTGGATTATTTTTTATTATACTTCATCAGCGAGTGACTAGGCATGCCATTTTATTTTACTATCAGTGATGTGAGCTGGTCTCTCGGAAGTTATAATTTCAAAATCAGTCTGAACGTTCACGACCGTAGCTGTGACCATTTCGACAATCGCTTTCCGTAACTACGCAGTAAAAAACGTTAATCGAAAATATTTTAGCTGCACGCCAGCCCTAATTATTGGTAAATAACGTTTTCCCAGCCTTTAATTGAGTAAGACGTTATTGATAGGGGACTAGCTCTAGCATTGAAGCAATCTATGTTGTGTTGCCGGCCCGAAATTCGCTCAGCCAGCGATCAGGGCAACACACGTTGTCCAACACAAGTTGTTGCTGTTTTTGTCGCCGAAAGCTGTCATACCGAGGCAACATTTTAGTTGTCGTCCATGTTCTCGAGAGTTGCCGTGATGTGTAAGCTTTGTTGGCCAACAGGGAAAGCGAGCAACAAGTTGCCCGACTGTTGGACAGCGTGTTGTGTTGCTGTTGCCATCGTGTTGCCTCAGTGTGACAGGGCCTTAACTAAACAGACATGTTGCCGCGCACAATCCGTTACAATAGGAGTATTGGGTGGCCTCCAAATAAGGCCCGATCCACGATTCACCAAGATCTGTCCAAGGAAACCAGATAATTAGATATGGGTACGAACACTGAAAGCTACAAATCTTGACGAGGCAAAAGATATGCATAGCAATGGAGCCAGGCACCAGGTGGCGCCTGTGCCACGTTAGAAGGTATCAACAATTAGGCTAAGAGCTGTCTCCTACCCATCTAAATATATACTATTCTATCCTTCGAAAAATTAGGAAATAGAAATCGGGCCGTGGAGCATGCACACTGAGCTAAGTCACTGCCAGGATGTGAACGGCCGGGCATCTCCTTCGAACGGCTTGCCTCCAGCACGCGCTCATCGCCTTCCACCGTGCTTCGGCTGCGCATAGACGCTCGAGGCTCACGAGACGCCAAAGCGTTATTGATGATAGGAAGCTCGCGCTGGAGGTGGGACAACTCAAACTTTACCCTGCCGTTCTAACTCTATCATTAAATATAGGATGATATAGTAAAATACCTACGAAGGATACGCGAGACTCAAAGCCTTAAGAACAATAGTTGTGGTTTGGTCACATTTCAAGTTGCTTTTTCGAGGGAAATGAACTACTTTCTTTTTTCTCCTATAAAGTCACTATGTACTGCATTTTTCTACTCACCCCTTCGTCTCTGTTGCAAATCATGCCCTTTGGAATTCGACGAACTACAGGAGTTAAGGGCGTGCTTCTTTTCTTACATATGTATGTGCAGTTATGGAAAAATATATCTTTCTGAAAAATTGAAAAAAAATTTAAAAAAAGCAAGAAAAGAGCTTATTTTGGCGTTTTTGGTAGTATAATATGATCAGTTTACAATACTTACCTCGTTTACACTGTATTCTTGTTTCTGTCCACCACACGCTTTGAAGAGTTTCATCATGTATTCTTTCCTGTCCTCCGAAGTACCGATATAACCTGGCAAATCGGAACCTAGGACGAACGACAGAAAGCGCGTTCTACATAAGAGACACTAAAAATGCTTCCGCACATAATTTATCCTCCTCATTATCACTACATATTATATTTGGAGGAACTGAAACATTTGAAATCGAGTAAAGAATACAAAAAAAAAAAAAACAAAAAAAACGAATATGCTTTTTAGACGCGTGTTCTGAAATCTGTATATAGCATGATTAATTCATAATGACTGCTTAATATCAGTATGCTCTGGACAACTTTCCAGGCTTTTAGTTTTCGGATTACATAATTGGTAGTAATGATGGCGATAAGGATGGAAGTAAATAAATGAGGACACCCTAGAAAGCTTTTATATTAAAATAATGGTGTGCTAAAATGTTTCGTTGTGAAAAAATCTACGCATGAACAGCTAACACAACGGCGTAGGGACTGCATACCTACACGAAAAAGCCAAATTGAGACACAGACACATGTTGGTATTTTCTCGCGTTTCTGTGTCAGCCACATGAAGTGTCTTTCATGCGTCTCAACCGCGTCGGCGTCCACCTGTGTCGGGGTGTGTCGCTCGAAGTCACCCGCAACAATGCGAGCTGCGCGAAGCGCCGATATCTGTCTCGGACGAAACCAGGTGGTAAAAACGAGAGGGGAACGCGGTATGGGACGCAGCAAACCATGATCGCTAACATCGGTGGTCTCTTCCCCCCCCCCCCCCCCCAAACCCCCCGCCTCCCCCCCCCCCCCCCAAAAAAAAAAAGAAAAAACAGACAATAGGTTTGACGTGTTCGTTTTGGCGCGACCAGTTGAAATTGTTCGAGAGCGCGTCAACTTCATTTTTTTGTATACAACGCGTGACGGTGGTGTTTTTCTGCAAAGTAAAGCTAGAAAATACAGAATACGCAGACCTTGCAAGGATGTTTTCTACTTCTTTGTGTATATCAAAGCGTCGCCAGCAGTATGCTTCCATCGGGACCACCGATATCTGCGTCTATAGCCAGCCGGCAACGGCCAGGCGGCGCCAGCAGGGTGAGAGGGCACGGTTATACTCTGTCTCTTTGTAACCTGGCAAAGGGTGAACGATAAGCCCCCCATTGCGTGCCGAAGGCTTCGAAATGCGCGACGTATACGAGCCCAACGCACACATATTGGAGCATGACGCAGCGAAAAGCCTCATACTTCATCGGAGTTGAGGCGCACTCGGGTGATACGCAGTCACGTTCCGATTGGCCCGCCAGGGCCGTAGCTTCCGCTCTACTGGCACGTTACTTGATCACGGCTTCCTGGGATACCCAGTATTTCTTACTTGAGACACTAGGCTAAGCGGCGCCACCAGAGTAATAGCTCACGTTTAAACAATGCAGCCGACACTCCCAGGGGTACCCAATATTTCTTGTTTCAGTCGCTAGATGGCGCCAAACCAAACAGCATTGCAGGTTGCCTATGCCTCGTCGTTCCGAAGCAGCCGGAATGCATGGGGCATTTCGCTCAAGATTATTAAATTATCTCTATGACCAGATCTCGGCGTCGACGCCGGAAGTGGCTTGCCAAGCAAAGAACATGGAACTATTTTAATGTACGCGCTAGAGGTTCAGCTGGCACTGGTGTCTACAAGACTCACGATTTCAAATTGAAGCAGACAGCAACCAGTCTACTTTTCCGATATTCCTGCGCAATCCCATTGGAAAACGCGCTTGGACTTTGTCTTTTCGTCGGAGAACATTAGGAACCACAATTGTCACTTAGGTCGTAGCAAATATTAGAGGTTAACTTTATTAATATTACAAAAGTGCAATTGCTACAGTATATATCTGATCAGTGAGCGGTGTTTAACTTCGCAGTATTTCCGGGCACAGTTCTATTTCCCACTTCACGCATGTAAAGACAAGCGAGGAATCTAAGCAACGATAACACCTGACAAGAATGTAGGGCATGTTCAAGGTGCGCCATTCTCCCGATGGCACTATAATACTGATAATCTGCGGAATATACGGGCCTCTGAAATGAGCCCGATTTACGAGCGGTTAAAACAAGTAAAACAGTAAAAGTACGCGGGCAACAAAATGTGTTTTCCTGTTTATTGTTGTGCCGCTCTTCTCGGTCGATAACTGTTTTCTGTCTTTCCTCAAATTTTCAAAGTTTTCAAGCACGCAGATATGAAGTTTTGAACGTATAGAAGAAACCTACCTTCACACCTATACAAAAGTGGGGAGATTATTCTGATTTTTATTTATTACATATCGCACTAATTGCTGAATTTCCCTTCATCTTAATTATCTAGTTGCACACGTAGTTACTGATAGCGTTAGTGCGTAGGTCTTGACGTCTCTTGATTTTCGAGATGCCCCTCTTTGCAGCAGATGCAACGACGTATACGCGACTGTTTCGGGATTGACAGTTGATTATCTCTGACGTAGAACGGAAAAAAAAGTTCATTATCTTTAAATGAATTCTGTGCAGTACCAGTACACTGTAACCAGGTGGTTGCCCGATGTTTTAGGCCTGGTCCAACTGGCGACACTGCGCAGCGTTTGAGTTACGGGGGCCGGAGCGCGTTCCCATGAAATTAGCCGCCCTTTTTCTCTACAGACGCGTGCTGACACGGAGAGACAATGAAGCGCCGATAATGCGCGTAAAACACGCGCACATGTCGTTGGGCTTTTACAGTCGGCGACAGGTTAAAAGATCCGGGGAAGCACCTCCACCTCTCTTCATTTTAGCAGAGCGAACGCTGGAGAAGAGGCAACCACCTCTCCAGCGTTAGCTCTGTTAAAGAGGAAAGGGGTGGGAAAAGCTTTCCCTGAAGTCTTAACCTATCACCTACTACAGAATTAAAGGCCCATCGCGCAATGTGGTAAGATGGTGTTACCTTTATTGCGTTCCAGATGATATTTTCAACTTCGCCATTTGAAGGCCTAACAGCATTTTCAAGGATATCAAAACAATACTTCGTATTCATTAAGCTGTAGTTTTGTAACTAATTAACCTTTATAGTATCACCCAATGCCCAAGCAAGGATACACAACAGGTAGACTAGGTATTTGATAGAAAAAAAAACTTAAATATTGCAAAATTTGAGCCAGAAACGTCAATAGCCGCTGCACCGACTGTGTTATATACGGGTTGTATGCGGGTCATGTGACAAGTTATAAAAATTTGAAGGATTTATGTTGTTCTTGACTAATTGTTAATATATTTATTGCCCATCGTTAAGACATTAGCAGCTCATGAGTACTTAAATTATTCAATGAATAAATGAATGAATGAATGAATGAATGAATGAATGAATCTTGTTAAGACTGAAGCTTGTGCCAGTTGTTTGATCATGTCTAAAACAGCGAGTTCAGCGCACACGAAAGACAACACAAGAGAAGGTAAAACAAAGTTAACTTTTAACTGAAGTATGTATTGTTAATTGTGTGGCATATATACCAGCACTGTTCTACTTTAGTGTTACATTTCTGTGCGCTATACTCACCGTTTTAAAGTAAACGAATGAATAAAATAGATATGTTGTTTTAGCTAGTCAGTTCTCTATCAAATAGTCAGTACCTGCAGTTGACACAAATATATATTATAGCCAAATATGAGAAAATTTAGCTTTAGGAAACACCCTAACAATTATTTTAGAAATAACAATCGACGCCGCGATTGTATTCTTGCAATATATGGTCGTGAATGGCAAAAAAATAATTGATGTTACTGTATTTGTCAGAAATATCCCAGAACAAAAATCATAAGGGAAGTACTGGACATATGAGGTACTGCAGCGGAACGCCGACCGGATTAGAGGAAATCCTTTATGAGACGCTTTGAGCGTTGTTGTTCATCGCGATTAGAGATACTGGAACCAACCTATTTCGTAATAGAAGGGGTAGATTCCGGGCTTTTATTGGCGTTCTAATATTGAACGTACGACACCGCAGCCTCAAAAATAGCAATCGCGCGTTCCAGTGTAAGGTCGGGTAAGGTAAGGTAGATCAACCTTAAGTACAATCAAGGTTGATCTAAATTGTGCGTTGTCTAATGTTTGTAAGAAAACAATTATTAATTTACGATAAGGAAAGAGGGACATTTAACCAACACACTCCGCCATCTACAAACAATTATTGCCAGCAGTTTTTACATCAAATGAGGCTTCATACTGTTACAATATGGCATTGCAGCTGTTTTCTGTTGGCCCCCGCTAGGTGGCCAGTGGCGGCAGCGCGGTTTGGCGTCGGTCAATAAACATGGCTGACGAGCACATGTGTGATTCCATCACTGGAGTAGACAAAGAATGAACATGGTGTCAGAAGTGGTCATCATCGTCGATCGTAAACATTGAGAAAAGGAAAACGAGTGAGTCGCTGATCATCTGTGCCCCGATAAAGAAGTGATGGAGAGACTGGTACTACCGCCGAAGTTCTCCGCATCCGGCAACGCCGCCGAGCAGTGGCGGGCGTTCATGCAGGCGATCAACTTCTATCTGAAGGCTACAGAAACGGCAAGCAAGCCGGACGAACAGAAAGTGGTTATACTTCTAACCGTCGGCGGTCCTGCGCTACTCGATGCCTACAACACAATCGACTTTGGAACTCCAACAACGGCACGACCACATCCAGAGCTCGACTACGAAAACGTGCTCACGAAACTGGGCAGCCATTTTGCGCCGAAGCAAAACGAAGTCTACTCCAGGTATGTGTTCCGCTGCCGTACTCAACAACAAGAGACGTTCGACAGTTTTCTTACGGATCTCAAATTGAAAGCAAGAGACTGCAACTTTGGGGCGGAGCGGGAGAAAATGATCAGAGACCAAGTTGTCGTTGGTACTAACGATGAAAAACCGCGCGCCGACATCTTGAAGACTGATAACCCGACGCTTGAAAAGGTGGTGCAAATCTGCCTAGCACAAGAGACGACAAAGTCTCAACTGAAGGCATTCAAGAACGGAGCTACCCCGACCGACAGCGTGCATGGCGTGAAGGAAACGCGTCACAGAGTCAACGCCAAAAAACCGCCAAAACAGTCACCGCAGC